GTTGTATCAGTTCACCAAAAGTGACTAAGTCCGCCTAAATGGTTAAACCTATGATTTTCTATATCACTTTGTTATCAAATCTATCTTTATACTTACTTTTCATTTCCCCTAAACTAAACTCAATAGCTTTCTAGTCCAAATTATGCTAGTGACCTTTACTAGTTGATGCTAGAATCTCCCATGTTGGCATGCAAACTTTAGTAGTGCAAATTGAACAACTTGAAGTATTACACTCAGAAAAGCCTCATTGGCTTGAGAAAATGATTCCCATGAGCTCTCAAAGCTATAAGAGACATCTTAGAGTGATCCTAAGCTTCATTTCCCTTTTTTTGATTTGCAAGAGTTAAAGGAGGAGGATATGTGAGTGTTTAATTACCATTAGTCCACTCCCTCCCAAAGCCATACTCTGTCTTCATATAGCTTTTGTGAGCTAAGGTGAAATATTTTAAAAAATTTGAGCTCATTAATTGGCTTGTAAACCCATCCTTGAATACCATTATTAGAGCTACTTAGTAAGCATTTTAGAAGGATATATAGGAGGAGATCACTTGTGCTAGGTTCATTTATACCCATGGAAGGAAGCTACACAAACCTTTTGGTATACTAGTATGATCTCCCACTTATGCATGCTTTTCTAACTATAATGCTTTTTTATGGTCGACTAACATGGCAAAATAAACCTTTATGGCCTTTCATTTTACTTCCACCCCAAGAGGTTCTCATAAGTCGTGTAATCTTACTTGATTTAATGGAATTAATAGAGAGAAAATATTTTTTAAAGCTTTAAGCTTAACATCAATTATATTTTCTTAGCCAAAGGTAGGAGACATTGGATCAAACTTTGATTTTAATGAGGTTTAAAATAGATTTTTAATTTTTTGAAAGTAATTTAGAAACATTTTTTTTAAAATATTGACATTGCCTAGTAATATAATATTATTTTTTAAGGTTTAAAGAAATTATTACTCATAAAGATGATTTTAAAAAAATTTCATAAAAGCAATTTAAGAGTTAGTTAGGATCCAAAGGCCTTTAATTTTAATCTTAGATTATACAAACCTTTAATATCCATAATCAGCTAATAAGACTTTTTTTTATGTATTTTTAATCATCTAAATATTAATTAAAATTAGAAAAATGATTCTTTGGTGTTGTGTATTATCCTTAAGCCAACTATTGCTAACCTAGATGTTTTGGTGGCTTAACCCATATGTCTAGTTAACCCATGTTTGGTTATGGTTTTAATATTTTGACCTATTTGAGTTTGGGGTTTCTATTAGATCCATCAAATATTTAACCTATTATAAATTATTTTAGATAGTTTAGTGACCTACCATGGTTTGCTTGGCGTAATCCCAAGTGGAGCATGGCTTTAAAATAAGTAAACCTAATTAATCTTAGGTAACCTTAATGTTCACTATATGTAATTAATTTAATATTATTTTTTCCTAATTTATTGTAAATGATTTGATAGCTTACCTTAGCCTTAAGGATGACTAATGGTTTGTCCTAAACTATTAAATAACTTATAGATTTTGCTATAAATTGGTTCTACTAATGTTGCGAGGGCTTGATAAATTCTTTAATTACTATTCTTCCCAACTTACTGTTGATGAATTTTTAACATGAAATATTAGAGGTTTTAACGTGCAACATTAATATTGACTCCTAGCTATCATTTTTGCACCAAATTAATAAAAATAAAAGAGTTTGAACGTAGAGTGTTACAGTGTTTATCCTTATACGTGGATGAGTGGTGTAGCATGAGGACCATCATAAACATAGGGTGATGAAAATGGTCTAACCATGAGGCCTCAATTTAGGAAAATTGTAGCTAAGCATTGCTAACCCATCACCAAGAGAAAGTTAAAACCCTAAGCGAGGTAATTTGATTTATATTTTCTATTTAATTATGAGTATGAAACTTCATGTGTAGGCCACCCATTTCCCCTTTCCTTTTTTTTTTTTCAAATTCAATTTTCTCTTATTATAACTTATATTTAAACATTATTGTCTGTGGAATCAAGTTCTTAGATATTTTTGTGATTGAAGTTGGAGTGAATTCCAAGTGTAAATAATTCTTTATGAGTTTATTGATTTTATTTACATATTTTGACTATACTCTTTTATTTTCCAAAAATATTTTCTCAAGAAAATCCAACAAAAATTCTCACTTAGATAAACTTTTTGTTATTATCAAAACCTTGTCTCAAATCTATCCTACAAACCACACCATCAACATGAATATGTTGAGCTTATCGATCCGGCCTTGACCTCACTGCTTATAGGTTAAATTATTAATGTTGAAGACTATTAAAATGATATTTAAGTGACATGACTAAATTATATAATTTATCTTACTAATGCTTGATGCAAAAATATCTAATAATTTTTTTGTTTAATAATTGTGAAGTACATGAAAACTCTTAATGAGTTCTAAGTTAGGGTTAACTTTAATGACTTGACCTTAGCAAGTATGGGCATATATTTATATTTTTTATGCTACTCCTATATAATCTTGTGTGTATAAACATATCAACATTTATATAGATTTAGACTTTATTTGGGACAATTTTCTTACTGCTTCTTAAAGCAGCTTTCTAGTAAAAAATCAAAATTTTTACAGTAGAAAGCTGCTTTAAGAAGCAATAAGAAAGGCGTCCTAAACAAATCCTTAAAAAAAGTTTGGATTATAAATTATCCCCTTCTTATTACAAATATTTTTGTGTCCATCACTAATTTAATTTGATATTTAACGCAATGAATTTTCATAAAAAGTTAGCTTAGCTTGCTTGGATTTAGTATTACATTGTAATTTAGTTTGCTTCACTTCCTAATTATGATATATATATATATATATATATCTAAAGAGGACATGATTTTATAATCTTGTATACAAAAAAAGGCCATAGAAATGGGATATCACTTCCTAATTATGTGTGCAATCAGTAGCAATTATCATTAAAGTTTCATTAAAGATTTGTGTAATCACCATACATTATTTATCTATTGTAGATCCACTTTTTATGAAACTGATTTTGTACTGTCGATATCGTTACTGGAGGAGAAATGATTCATCGTAGCTCGAGTTTGCAGTGTTTGCAAGATCTCACGGGGACTTAATGATGTTTAGCCATGAACGATGGTGAAAAATAATGGCTAAGAAGTCATCCTTACTGACGACAGATGGGTCGAACTGCAAAGAGGAACCTTATAGATTAGGGTTCTTATTAGGGGGTTTGAATATATTTGATCATTATCAATTTTATATAGACTATAAAAATAATAATGATCATTGAGCTGTCATAAATATTCGACTGGAGAATGCCATATATTTGGGACCTACATCATATTAGACTGAATTTATGTAACATGAGGACATTAGGATTTATTCAAGAAAAGAGATATGAGAATATGAAGGGATCTATTTTATTGTTGATACTTAATGCTTAAACTTTAATTTTGAAGAACTATAATTTTTTTAATAGTTAAATAGAAATAGAAGTATATATATAAAAGGAATGCAAGGCAAAAGATTAAAGTTACTTCTATTTTTAAAGAAATGCAAGGCAATAAAATAGATCCCTTGGAGTTGTTCGACTTAAAAAAATTAAAGAATTGCATTTAATTTAAAAGATTAAAAAAATTGCATTTCATTTTTATATGTAAAATGAAGTAGATATTGTTGCCCGAAAAAGAAATGCAAGGCAAAAGAATGCAATATAAAAGAAATGTGGTGTAAAATGAATACTTTGGAGTTGTTTGAATAATTATAATTCATGACATTACATTTTTTTTTGGTTTGGTTTGAAGTAAAGCGAATGCAACATAAGGTACAAAAACGTTGTGGCTGGCTAGTGGTTGGTAGCTGGAAGTGGTTGCTGGCCGAAGGTGGCCTTGGTGGTTGGCCGGAGGTAGTCGGCGGTGGAGGGTAGTGACCAGTGGTGGAAGCTGGTCAGAGGTGTTCGACTGTGGCATGTGGTGGCTTATGGTGGAGGGTAGTGGTCGACGATGGTGGCTGACCGGAGGTGTCCAACAACTGATGGAGGTGAAGGACAGTGGCTGGTGGTGGCGGCTGACCGACTATGGCACAGGCAGTGGCGGGCTATAATGGAGGTGGCCAATAGGTAGTGGCAATGACAGGGAAAATTATTACGTCCGGTGTCCGGATTCGTCTGGACATCAATCCAGACGCGCCACGTCACCTAGATACATCCGGGGCCTAGTATCCGGGTGACGTGGCGCATCTGGATTGGTGTCCGGACGGTCTGGTCACCGGGCGTAATAATTCGCCAAATGATAGTGAGTTTGCGATGGAAGGAATTCTAAATACATAAAAAATGAACTAGCTAATATATTTGAAATGCATTAAAATTTTACTCTAAATTCTTTTTATTTCAAATCAAATATTTAAAAATTTTTATATTTAAAATTCTTATATTTAAAATTCTTTAGTCTTTGCATTGAACACATCCGGGGCACAGTATCCGAGTGACGTGGTGCATCTGGATTGGTGTTCGGACGGTCTGATCACCGGGCGTAATAATTCACCCAATGATAGTGAGTTTGCGATGGAAGAAATTCTAAATACATAAAAAATGAACTAGCTAATATATTTCAAATGCATTAAAATTTTACTATAAATTATTTTTATTTCAAATCAAATATTTAAAAATTTTTATATTTAAAATTCTTTAGTCTTTGCATCGAACTAAACAATCCATTATATATAAAAAAAAACTAAACAATCCATTAGACAAAAAAAAAAAAGACATAACATGTCCCTCCACTAATGCTGCACGTCTCCTACTAATCCAAACGGAAGTAGAATTTCAACAATCACATGGATTCACGAATCTCGAGGTCGCTATTATCACACGAGTTTTTCCTTGCCTTGCATTGCCTTGCCACGTGGGAGCCGACTTCGGTAGACCGAAAACTGCAAATTGCGCGACCGGCCGACTCCCACTTTCTTTTATGTTAAATTGCCAAATGCCCCCGTAACAGAAAGGAAACTGCATCGGTTTCTTATTTCGTCAGGTTTTCCTCGTTTTCGTGTCGTGCCCTCAAGCGCTTGGATTGTCCCGTCTCCCATCCTTTTAGTTCTTCTTCCTCAGGGTAAAGGAATAGAGTAGTCCTAAAATCTGATCGGTTAATAGAAGTAATTGGGGCTGTTTGAGTCATTGGATCGGAGCTTCGGCGGTCTACTCGTCGCTTCGGGTAATTTCTCAAGAACATGAGCGATTCCATGGGTTTTCTTTTGTGTATTTGATGATCTTAATTTCGGGAATTCGGCGGGGTTGATCTCTTCATATTGCTTGGGGAGGGGATGAAACAGCAGCGATCGTTATTGAGTCTAGGTTTTTGGGTATTTGTGTTTTTGTTACTATTTACTTCCATATTTTGCAGAACATAATTACATCAAAATCAGTTTTATTAATATCTCAGCAACCGTAGTGGTGATGATGCTTTTGGATGTTGAAGTTTATCTGTTCCTAATAAAGTATGCACATGGTTTATGGAAAATGTCAATAATTCGTTACCTTTTTTCTTTTTTTCTAGGTTACTGCTGAATAACAAAGATTGACAGCGTTGATTTCTTTTGTCTACTTCGCATAACGAACGAGGTTTAGTATTCGTTATATTTTATGTTTCTTTTGGAAGGATTATTTCATCAACTTTTATTCATTTTATTATCCTTTTGATGCTTTTGGCATCGTTCCATACTTATACTTTGACATACATGCAGGCTCATATATGATTTTTTGTTTGCATTTCTCTCTAAGGACCTAATCTGCTTCTGAGGTCCATATAAATGATATTATCATAAACTTGATGAACAGGGTCCTCCTGTGTCCTTTAGTATTATATTAGAAATTGTGTTTGTGCAAATTGGCGAAGTGTGCTGGAATCAACTGAAATCTGTTTTTCAGTTCTGGTGGTGAGAAATAGGGAATGTGTATACTACATTAATTAGATTAGTTGGGGTTAATATGCAACATCAGGAATAGCAATTCTCAGCGTTTGCAAGAAATTTAGTTTGGGAATTTTGATAGTTTGGATTCTTTTATATCGAATTCAGTAAGGTCACAATTTGGATTCACTTTTTGTTTTGCACCTATGTTTTTTCTCCATTTTGAAAAATTGGTACTTGATAAAAAACAAGTTTGACAACCATATTTTTTTGTTTGTTGTTTTTGGAACAGAGTGTTATTTCATGAAATTGTGAAGACAACTGCATGGGTGTTTTTACATGTTTTGGAAAGTTGTTTTGCTGAATTAGGTTAATTAAGGATTAATTGGTGTCATAATTAAAATCATTGAGGACATTTTTTTTTTAAATTTTCCAACAATGAGGTTTATTTAATTAACTAGAATCATTAGTCAATAAATACCTGTTAAGGCCTATGATGCACCGACACTTCTCTTCGAAGAGGTATGCAGTGTTCGACATATATCAGACTCGACACTTGTTTAACACTCTTCTAACGCATGTCGGACATGCCAAAGTTGTGCTTGATTAAAAAAGTATTAAAAATAAATTGAACATGTGTGTCTTAAACATTTTATGGAATTGTTTTTAAATTATTTCTTTTATTTCAAAATTTTATTTATTAAAAAAGAAAAATTTTCTATTTCCTCTCAACAACCCCAAATTCATTGCCAATGCTTAATACTCCATTCCCCACACATTCCCATCTTCATTTCTCTATGATGGACTGCATCTAGTGTTTAACAATAACATCCAATGTCATCATGGCATCGACGCCTAACGTCATTGCAACATCCATATGTTTTAAAATCATCTCAAAATCAACATCAATGCCCGAGTCTTGATTGCATTGTCGTCTCCCCTCTCGATGCTTGTAACACGACATTCGCCCGACTAACGACATTCTAATATTAATCATTCTAAGAATAGATCTTAGTTAAATGAATTATTAATTTTCAATTATCCATAATATCTTGCTTACTCAAATTCTATGCACTATTTTAAAGATATACTAATTATAATACTTTGTCCAACCTATGTCCGTGTCATATATTTTCAATAATTGATGTATCTCGTGTTCGTATCATCGTGTCGGTGTCACCGTGTTCGTGTCTGTGCATCATAGGTTAAGGGTAATTAGAGATTCATTATTATTTTAATTAGTTTAGATCATAAACATTTAATTATTATTTAATTATAGTAACTTGTCTCAAAACAATTAGTTATTGAATCTTCAAGAGTAGTTGTTTGTTAACTTTTACTTGGGCTAAGTAAGGATTAATTAAGTTTTGGATATCATTGAATTTATTCTTATTAATTATTGTAACTAAGCATAGTATTTATAGGGATTAGATTTAGTAGATAATCAATTAGATTCTTAATGCTCATGATTTGAGCATCAAATTATGAAAAATGAAAGATATTATAATTAGTGCAATTTTAGCAATTCAATTTCTTGGTGAAGATTGCCAATTGTAGTGATTCTTCTTGTATCATATCATTGAGAATGAAGTGCCTCCCCTCAAAAAACTATGATTTCTATTTTTGATCTCCTGCCTTATTCAAAAAAAAAAAAAGTGTTTTTGTTGAATAGCCTAGCCGACCCAAAATTTTTTGCTCTTCTTCCATCTTGTACTCTCGTGGCTCGGCACTTGATCTCTCTGCCAAAAAGGAATGAGATGCATCTTCTGGAGTGGAAACCGTGATCAGGAAGGGAGTTCTTTCATAGCTTTGGGTTTTTGTTTTTTTTTTTACATTTTGCTTTGTACTTCTGTCAGAGTTCATGTATAGGAATGATTAAATTTTACATTACTTTGTTGGTTATATAATTTGTTTCCTTTATGATTAATGCACCTATATCTAATCCTAAAATAAAAAATAGTGATGTTATTGTCTCAATAAAGCACATTATTTAGATATCAAAGTCATTTGTGTTTATAAAACACTTTCTTTCAAAGCACTTTATTGTCTCAAATAGTGATGATAAGTTGTTGATATTATTGTTTTGTTTTACTATAGATAGATTGCCTAAATGCATCCTTGGTAGCCCACTTTTTTATACTATTGGTATTACATCGTTTTACATAGACAAATACAGAGTTACTTCTATGTATTGCTTGCTTGAATCCAAACAATTCCTTTTCTGCATTCAATAAAGAGAGAGTTCAACTAGCACATCTTTATCCATATGGTTTTAGCTCTATTGATTTGACAATCTTGATAATTAGTTGGAAAATTATATCATGAATATGCGATCTATCATAAAAAATTGATTACATAATAGAATTAGAAATCAGTGGATGAATGATACTTTAGTTTCAAACATTGTGAAAGAAATATTGAATTATATTGATAATAAAGTTTTTATTTAACTCTTCTAGAATGAGTAGCTGCTAAAAGTTGTAAGTTTTTTGTTTTCATCTTATATGTAATATTCTATCTTTTTAAACTAATAAAGTTAATAAGCAAAATTTTTAAAACTGCCAATATCGGTCCTAAGCCCATATGAAAAAAATTTAGGGAAAATAAAATAAAATAAATTATGCCCCCCTATCAAAATTCCTAGCTCCACCACTATTCTATCCCTTATCCTTTTCCTTTCTTATTGCCTCAGATTTCCTCTTTTGGGTCCAAATATCATTGTTCCATGATTTGCCTCCCGCAATATCTGCTACCATATCTCTTATTGCAACTTCTCGTTCCCCCAAGTTTACTCAGCTAAAATATTCTTCTTCTATCATTGTTTTTAAATTTAGGCTGGAGCTTGCCATGAAAGACAAGAGGCAAAAAAACGGAGTACTATATGTTGTTTTCGACAAAACACATCAGAAAAGTAGAAAGCCAGAGAAGGAAAACAACAAAATAGTTAGTGTCCAATATGTGGGAGTAACCGAATGCTTTCTAGCACAAGGAGTTAGGATTTGCTGTTTATAGTGAAATGGAGTGTAGTTTTTTACTGCGTATGGCAAGAAAGAGAGGGAAACAGTGAGAAACATTTTTCACAACTAAGAAAGACAGACAACAAGGTATATATAACTTGCTCCTTGGAATGCTAGAACTGTTAATTAAATTAAAAAAAAAAAACGACCTCTTCCTATACCTCTTAGATTTATAATTGTGGACTTAGGTCATAACGCTTGGAGGCTGTTTTTTCATCTTCTAGTCCATTGAAATAAGGCACAAAGCTTTTTCTAAATGTTTAACTTCTTAATAGATAATTAAAATTAGGAAAATTACACCGTACATAGCCCCTTCCCAAATATAATTTTGAAAATTAAGATTGTTTGCTTAATTTTAAGAAGATTATCTCTATATTAATGAATATTATGCCTTAAAAATTTTTGTTTTGGATGCACATCTTTATTGTGAATTCCCGAACATATGAAGTGAATTATCATTTTTTTTTATAAGAGTAATAGTTCTATTTTCTCTTAATGTTATGATCTAAGTCCGTAAAGATTTTAGGATTTATAGCAAGCAGTTCAGGTATTATTTTTAGAAGTCCTACTGTTCTATGGAACAAGTAAGATATACATTATTTTCTTTTACTTACTTTCAGCAACGATTGTTTTATGTTTTCCTTCTGTTTCTTGCTAAAAACAAGAAACAAATACTCTACGTTTTGAAGAAATTAAAATGATGCAGAAGAATTTACCCAAAGTAGGCATAGGGAACAATCATTTATTTATGTGGGTAGCAATGGAAACATGGGCCTATTATTTACTGGAGTGAAAAATAACCATTGCAAGTTTTCCTTTTGAAGCCTTTTTGTTCAGTCCTTTGATTTTTATTTTCTAACTTATATAGTAAGTGGAAGGGAAAAGAATTGGAGTGGTAAGTTAGCAATTGTATCACTTTTGAGGACAGAGAGATAAAACTTTGATGTACTTCAATATATCCCACTCTTCCGATCATCCTGCTATCTAGCCTCCTTGGTTGTGTATTCCATAGACAGATTTGATTATATGCTTAAAATGCTACGCAATTATAATTCGGACAACACTTTGTCTCTTCATGAAACAGAAGACAAAGCAATGAAGATGAATAGTTTTATAAGCAAAGGTTGGTGTTTTAAATTTCATAACTTTATTATTGAAGTGCCTTATCTTCATTTATTCTTAGTTATTCTAAATCATATTATTATTATTATTTTGAGCTTTTACAGTGCCCAGCCGGCAGGCAGTGATTAATTAATTGGCTGAAGTGGTTGATACTTGTTAATTTTTAGGAAAGTATGAATTAATTAAGGTTCTATTTTAGATCATTAATGTTTTATTAGTTTTTTTAAGAGAATTAAACTGGGACAATTAAATAATTCATTATTTAGCTCGTGCAATTGGTATTTAACTATACTTAGGCTAATTACACAATGTTTTTGTTTGTTCATTAAAATCTTTTAGTATTTAATCAAGAGGTCCGCATAGGATAAATAACTAAAGCAATTAAATATATATGTTAACTGGTAATGTACTATTTGTTGCGGTTAGTTTGGAATTAGATAGTATTTTAAGTAAATCGTGGTGGTTTAGTATTTTTTAATTATGATTATTTAAAGCTTTTATAATTAAAATACTATTCAAGTTCAAGTTGAAAAGTTAAATACATCAGTTTATGAAGATAAATATTATTATTAGAAGTTATTAATTAACCAGTAATTATGACGTAACTTAAAATAAAAAGGGCTAAATTTGATCTAATTAGGACAATTTTGTAAGATAGGATTAACTAAGGGCTTAATTAGGCTAGTTATATATAATTTTTTTCTACTATTTTTTGCTAACAATTTCTCTTAATTTCTACAAATCTGAAATAAGAAGAACATCAATGCACGTTTTCTTTCAATGGTCCATTTGGTTATTTGAAGTTAGAAACACGTTTTGAAAAACAATGGTGAAATTCCCAGGTGGAAGTTTGTTTTGGAAGAAGTCATTATTAACAAGTTCCATAAAATTCGTCAAACCCTGTTAAATGTAAGGATTTCATTTTAACAATCAAAGTGAATGAAAACAAAATAAGTATTTTTTAAAACATAATTTTTACCTACAAACGACCAAATGAGCCCCCTACCTAAGTGAAAAACAAAGAGAAAATCCAAACAAGGCCAACTTGTTCTTGCTTTCTTGGCAGTCTCCCAGTATTCTAATTATTGTCGTATAGAACATAGATACAAGATGCATTTAACGATTCATAGTCCATAATCTTCACTGACAACCATTAATCTAGGGTGGGTATTTGGTAGCAGGGAGCATTCTAATTGAATGTTTTCAACTGAATCATACATCGTGTTGCAGGCTTTTTTGGTGTCCTTCTGGAGCCATCGAGAAGATGGTTACATCTGTGATATTGAGTTTCTTGAAGATTATTAAGCATAAGCAGCTTGAATACGGACCTCTAATATGGTGTCCCTTTTTCTGGAGATTTTGGACATATCCTTTCTTGCCAATTCAAGAATTTTGGAAGAAAGCAATTGTGCTTCTTGAAAAAGATACCATGCCAACCCAGGGAATTTACTTTACATATCTGCAGCAACGATTATCTCAGTATTATCCTTCTGAAACTGCTGTAGGATGCTAGGGTTAAATCCTATGCATTGGGGTGTAGCTTAAATAATACACCAGCATTCCTTCCAATAGAATGATAACTGAATTATTCCATCGTAACCTAGCACACTCTCTGTGGAGGTCTGCATGAGGATTATGTTTGGTCACGTGCTTGGACCTTTTTCTATTTAATGGAGCCTTTCATTTTTGCTCTCAAGCTTTTATTAGAGAGTGGGCAGCCCATAGTTAACCAACGGTTTTGGTTTATGAAATTTTTATTCAACATGCCTTCATGCTATTAGAGCTTAATTCAATAGTGTGCGCACCCCCAATGGTGTAGAAGGCATGTTGCTCGATGGAGAGTTTGAAAGATCCCGATTTCTCAAAAAAGTAGCTTCTAGGTTAAGATCTGTGGTGGTCCTGAAGGAATATCGAACTTGAGTAAGTTCTATAAAATGCATACACACTTGCCTGCTGACATTCTCTGATTGGATAGGGCAACATTTGGGATCAACTCCTGCTTGTAAAGTTAGGCTGGCCATACCTGATACTTGGCAATGAAAAAGAATCATCTGTCACCAGCCTTGAACCCTTTTTGAACAATGATTTTGGGAGTGATCTATGGAAAGCCACATGGAGGAAGCTGCAGGATCTTGGGATATAGTGCAAGTTTGTATATACAGATAGGGAGGAAGATTGGGTTGTTTCTGGGGAATTTCAACTTCTCCACTGGGTTCAAGCACTTTAATTCAGGGGCTAGCATATCACCTGAAGGTTCATTTCTTTTCAGTGCAACCTCTTTTCTTTGAATTCATTGACTGTCCATTCACAGTATTTTATACAGTCCTTTGAATTTGGCATCCCCATGGCTAAGTCTCTCTCTCTCTCTCTCTCTCTCTCTCTCTCTCAATTTGGCATCCCCATGGCTAAATCTCAGTTTTGCTCTCGTATGCTTCTCCATCAGGCATCTAGTTTTGTCTTTGGTAACTCCTATAAATCTAAAAGATGATTTTTGATAAAGCAATAGTTGCCCCTAGTTCTAGACAGGTATTTCTGATGATGGTTGGGCAATATTTTCTGTTCTAGAAATGGAAGGAATGCATCCTCCATAACCTTAATATTGTTGTTGAGCACAATTTCAGCTATTGTGTGAAAGCTCCCGAGGAAGTTCTTCATTATGCGCATTCCGGTGGCCAGCATACTATTAGTTTTTCATAGTCTAATCTCTCTTTACATGGAATGGCCTCCTTTTACAATGGTTTCTCAGGTACCTTGAATTTGTGTTTTTTTTTTTAATTAAAACTTTTGTTTTTTAAATTTAAACTAGAGTCTTATTACCATTTTAACAAAAGTTACATGTGCAGCAATTTTGTTATTTTTGAAGAATCCCCAAAATTTTAAAAATATTTTGTTTATCATGTTTTCTACTTGGGTTTGTCATATGCTTGTGGAATGATAATAAAATATACAATTAGCAAAAATTTTGAGCATATTGTTCTTATGTAAACATTTTTGTTGCATGTTAGATATTACTTGGAATTTTAAATGCTATAATTAGATGTAGCAAGTTCTAATATTGTGGTAGAAGGCCCAAATTATATTTTTGGATTGTACAAAATACAAAAAAGGTAGGATCAAACTATTTGCAATTATATGATGATATCACAAGAAATATATGTAGAATAAAGAAAATAATGTTAAGACATAGAGAATACATAATTTATTGGGTTCAACCAACAATGGAAAACATACCCAGCATAGAGACACATAATAAATCCATTGTAAATAGATGGAGAAGTGCAAATAAGGGTATCATACAAATATATATGTAAACATCTACAGTAATCAACAAAAATGAAGGATTAGATCTCATTTAATCTTTGATCAAATTTTTGTTACTCGACCTCCAAGAATACAACAATAATTTATCTCTTTCTTGAAAAGTGGATTAATAAATTAAAACATGAATCATCATAACCTCTTTGATACCCAAATTTGTTAAAAGCATAATTAGTTGCAAATCTAAGATTTTACTTTTTGCTTTTTGCAAATCTAAATTGGGATCACCATAGTCACTTGGTTAGTAAGATTTTGCTTTTTTCAAATCTTTTAAACAAAAGTATCACCATCTTTAAGTTTACTTCTGATGAAGTGGTATCTTCTAACAATATGCTTGATTCTCTCATTGTCAAGCTATTTGAATGTCACTGTAATTACAAAATACAACGAAGCTATTATAGGGGCTATTTGGTTTGTTGTATTTAGAGTGTAAAGTAATTCAAATGCAGGGTTTTTGAAAATTTCAGTATTTGGTTAAAAGTAAAGTAAAATTTTGATGCAAAAAAGTGTATTCTAAATATCTCAGCTAGTGCATTTGCGGTGTATTCCAAACCCGCTCAAATCGGGCAAGTTCCGAATACTGAGCACGAAAGACTGAAATGCGGGAATGAGGCGCTAATGAGACTCTTCGTCTCTTGCAAAAGTCTAGCCTTCTCTGCCATTCTCGCGAATCTAGGGAAACTAAATCCATCTCGGTTGTTCATCCTCACGTAATCCAGCTCACGTCACGCGAGATATGCCATGATCGTCCTTCTTCCTCATGAAATCCAGTCTTCGGGGGTGTGTACTTTCTCTCTCGCGAAATCCATTCTGGAGGTGGTCACCAAGTCTGTGGGTGGAGGGGAATTTGGAGATTCTCCAAGGAGTCATCGGGCATTTCTATCTGGTTTAGGTCTGACATCTTAAGCAACTGCAAGCCTCAACTCCCCCTCTCATGTTAACACCCCTCTTTTGTTGTTGTGTGCGATCGACACACCCAAGTAGTAGCCCAATTCCACCCCCGAGCAGCCATACGACTTCGATTCGGACTCCATAGTAGCAGCCCTAGCCATCAATCTCCGACTCTAGGCCCGGCTAAGACCACCTCACACTGACTCTAGCATCCCTTACCAACCCAAGTACAAAAAATATTCAAAATATATTATTTTTAGTTTATGCTGCATATACCTAACCAAACTAGAAAAATAATTCCTCTGTATTTACTTTGTAGACAACCAAATATCTCCAAAGTATTTTAAAAATACTGCATTCACTTTACACTATATTTACTTTACAATGCCTTCCTTTTTTAGGCAACCAATCAGTCCCCTAGTGTAAATCAAAATCTCTATTCAAACATCCTAGCCAAATAATCTTTAAGAACTTCAATTAGTGCTATATATTCTATCTCTATAGTGAACAAGTAATTGTAGACTTAAGATATGCCTTCCAAGGAATAACTCTTCTTAAGATGGTGAAGATATACTCAGCTTGAGGTCGTCTACTATCAAGATCATTGGCATAATGAAAAATATAAAATCCCATATTTGTGCTTGGCATACATCAAACTATAACTTGTATGGCCATGGAGAAACCTTATAATTCATTTCATTTCCTTATAATGGGCCTTGCAATGCTAATCCATAAATCAATTAATTGGATTAACATGTGAAATATCCAAGTTAGCGCATTTGGGTACTTTAGCCATATTCTTCTTCTCTAATGATTGAGAGGAAGTTGTTGAGAATTGAAATTAATTTGCTAGTTGAGAAATTACAAGCTTCTCATTTTTAGCACCAAACTTCTCTAACACTTCAACATAATTTTATTTCATTAGAAATAAAGTTTGATAAGATAAGTTAGAGTTAACGGTATTCAAATACAACTTGGGATGAGATACACCATAAAGACTTATAGGTTACTAACTCTTAATGTTTGTAAAAATTAGCCACTTTTAATGTAAAAATAGCAATATACTTATTTTATTCAAAACAATAATGAAATAGTTGCAAAAATTTGAAATCTCAAAAGAAAATTGAGGGAAAATATAAAATTTCAATAAAAATTAAGATATATATAACAAAAAGGAATGTCATATTTCACACTAAAAAGTGGCTAATTTTGGATTAAAACTTAAATCATGCATATTCACCAATAATTAATTAAGTATATAGAAATAGAATGATAGAAATCACCCATTTGAAGTATTAGGCCTCAACCTAGTGTAAGGAGACTCACCCCTAGAAAGTAGTCATCATGACATGTGCATTCAAAAAATTCACTTCAACAATAATTAATAATTGAGAAAAGTTAAAATTTTATTTTATCATTCAATGGTTAATGGATTTTACTTGCATCCTGAGTCATATATAATATATATATAAACCAATGGAGGATCAAAAATAAGAAATTCTCATAATTCTCTTATCCATTTAAAAGTTTTAAGCTTCATTTCTCCTAGCATTAAGCAATAGGAGTTATGCTCATGTTTTTCAATATTACTCACTCTATATATCCCCAAAAGGAAAACCAATTAGTTTGCAATCTCATTGCATGCAAATTTCGTAACCGAGTAGTGTAAAGGAAACATTGTAGTCAACATTACATCAACAACAACAACAATAACATCAAGCCTTTGTCCCACTACAAGGGTCGGTTACATGAATCATTTTTCTCTATTGTGTCCTATTAAAATTCAAATTATCCTTTAATATTAAAGGAAATAATTTATGACAATCTATATAAAGAAGATAATAGCTTACTCTAAATAGCTCTCGGGACTATAATAATTAGAATTTCCTTCTATGGTTTTGGGACTATGCAATTAACGCATTCCATTAGTGCCTCCAGGCTTCAATGGCTCTTGGGATGACAATTAATTTTAATAAGTAATTAAAAGGAAATTGTAGGTGATTAGTATAGCAGGAAACCATAGGAACGAAAGTTGCATATGAAGATATTCCAAAATCTTGTAAAATATGAAAACTAAAACTATAGAATTTTCTTGATGCTGATTGAACTAGGACCCTTGCTATAATTGTAAGGCTTAAAACTAAATAAAAAATATGTGAGACAACCCATTCTCAGTAGGATGAACATCATAAACATGTTTTGTACTATAATGAATTAGAAAATGAAAATATAACAACCACAATACACTTGGTTCATATTTCCAACAAATAAAGACTTTTAGATTTGCATCATAAAATGTTAGGGTAATTAGGTAATCACAATCGTGAGAGGAAATAAAAAATTGCAGCCTACCAATTCCTTTAATAGCTGGTCTTTTGTAGGCTGGTTAAAACTACTCCCCCTTTTTTTAAATTTTTATTTTATTTTATTTTATTTTTTTAAGCTCTAAAGCTAATAAGTGCTCTCGACTCTTCCGAACTAAAAATAAAAAAAGATTGATTGAGGCAGTGCCTCAAACTGCCTCGAGGTGTTACACCTCAAGGCGTATGCATCAATGAAGAAAATTGTAAGCCTCGGCCAAATAAGAAAGGCTTAAGCCTCGGCCAAATAACAAAGGCTTAAGCCTTGAGGCGTCCTAGCTGTACCTCGAATTGAGGCACGCCTTAAGATGTATGCTTCAAACGCCTTTTTAAACCATAGTTGAGAGAGATTTCTTTTGATAATAATTGTTGGAATTAACTAGTTAGTCATATATTTTGCAAAGCGAACTTGGGATGAGGTGAATGAAAGATTTTGAAGTAATGAAGAATGGTTCTGTGGCTTGGCATAAAAGAAATGGCACCTAGGTTTTATTGAATCATTTTTGGTCGGGATTTGCAATTTCAAATCTAGCTTTGTTTAGATTAGAATTTAAGTACTTGTGGCTTATTGTTTTGGGCCTGGATAGCTAAAAATTATGAAAACTTAGAAATACTCCCCCAACTATTTGTATGTGGCTAGTTTAATCTCAGAGTATCATATTTTTTCGTTTTAGTCTCTGTACTATACAAAATTGATCGGATGGACTAAATTGTGATCAATTTTGTATAGTCTAGGGATTAATTGGGATCATTTGTATCATGATTTATATATTAGGGGTCATTTTGAGTCAATTTTATATAGTTGTGAAATTAAATTGGAGAAATATGATATTTGAGAACATAGATTGTCCAAGCACAAATAGTTGTGGGGCTATTTTGAAATTTAATTTTTTTATTTATGCTCGAATCACTTCATCACTACAGTGATTTATTGTTCTTTGGTTCATAAATCTAAAATATATATATATATATATATATATTCTGTGAATGATTGATGCTTAATCACCACTTGTCAGTGTTCTTTCAGACCTTGTTTTCATCGGATTAAAGTTGGCAAGATTATGGAACCAAGGAATATTTTCTATGCATCGCCACTGCCTGAATTCCACCACGTCCATCTCTTGAATCCTCCAAATGTTAATCCCCAGAGGCACATTGGTAACTTCTCTTTATCCTTTTTTTTTAAATGTTTTATGTTTATCCAAGCTAGTTCATTGATTTAGAAATGCCTTTGTCCTTTATTGGAACTCTGTTTTCTAAAAATGTTGATATTTGACTCGCAGGAAGTACTATGCTGGGATCAAATGAGCACACGATAATGAATTATAGTGTGAATTTTCGTCATCAAAATACTACTAATTCTGGAGCAATTTGTGACAACTATCAGCATCCCGTGTTTACTGTTAGCAGTAATCACAAAAATCCATGCCAAACTCAAAATGTGCCTTACTGCTACAATCAACTTGCTAATCAGACTGGGACAACCATAGTTTATCCACCAGCGGAGAGTTCTAGGATGGCATTTAAAAGGAAAACTCCTGCACACCCTGTTTATGAGAATCCCTATCGGTATCAGTTTACTGGAAGTTCTTCCAACTTTCCAGTTCCCCCTAATCATTTTCAGCTGGAGACTCTGCCAGTTTGTTCTAGGCCTCTACAACCTAATGGCAGTGTTTACGGGTATCATCAAGACGAGACTCGTTTATCTGTTGGTGAAGAATATCCGAGGAATGTAAGAATCCGGCACGGTAATGCTCCTCAAGCCGGCCTGAACCCTGCATGGCAATCATCATCTAGTAGACCAACACAGCGGTTCCACTCATCAACAAGCATTTCAGCTTCCACTGTTGCTGGTGGGCAATGGCACCACAATGCTCCACCAGGAACATATTCCCAGTGGAATCATCCTACAAGTTAGTATAATTTATACTGTTAATCCTTTTTTTTTGTTGGTCTTCCCTTACACAGCCTTGTCTTACTATTTCCTTAGCTGCAGATGCTGGCTGCTCCAATAATCTAATGAACCAGTATGTTTTAAGAAATTGTGTTTTTGGTGGCGATGCTGAACAGAATAGTACTTGGAACTCAGATAACGGTAGAAACTCATATGCAAGAGTACCTAATCCACAACCTTCTGACGCTCAAGACGCTTGGGCAGGTCCAACCAGTTATGAGCAAAGACTAGCTCTTAATAGGACCTCTTCAAATTACACTAACCTGGCTGCTACTGGTCCTTCAGGAAGTGTGTCTGTTTCATCGTCCAGTATTCCTCGGCTAAACATTCTTCAAAACAGCTCTACAAATCGAGTTCCGAGGAACTTTAATGCAACCTTCATCATGGGAAATGCACAGCGTGGATGGACATCTCAGGTCAGTGGAGCTAATCCAAATATACTATTTTGGAATCTATCTACAAAAACCTATCTTCATCATAATGAATTTATCCCTCAGAGTTTGCCTGTGATGGATGTTCCTCCCCCTGCTTATGCTTTCGATTCGTTGGATGAACATAGAGGTCTAAGACTCGACATAGACAACATGAGCTATGAGGTCTGTAAATCCCCCTCAACTATCCATTACCACCTCTGAAGCTTCTGATTTCAATATATCAATTACATAAGTTCTTTATTAACTACAGGAACTACTTATGCTAGAGGAAACAATTGGAAATGTCAACACCGGTTTGTCTGAAGATCAACTCTCCAGGTGCTTAACAGAGAGAATCCATTGTTCGTCAGCTTCAGCTCAGGATGATCAGGATGAAACCAGCTGCCCTATATGCTTGGTAAAATCATCCATATTTTCCTTCAATCTTGCAAGGTAATATCAAGCATTAATCTTCTATATCTCATTTCATTTGGGAACAGGAGGAGTTCAAGGATGAGGACAGCCAGGGAGTAATGAAGTGCCAGCATGTCTATCACGCCACCTGCATCAAGAAATGGTTAGGGTTAAAGAAAACCTGCCCAATTTGCAAAGCTCTGGCGGTAGATGATGATGTGAAACAGAAACAGAAGGTATCTTTATGATCAGCCATCTTAGCTTTTGCAATCTGCCTTTGATAATTGTAAATAAGATAGTAAATCGCACTATATTTTAAGGATCTAGAAATTGTCATTTGTTCAATTGCATCGTTAATTTCGTAGCAATTTATTGATTTGTGCATTCACTTATTTTTTCTTTTAATTTAATGCGATGAAAATAAATAGTGCAAATTAGTTCTCTCCAATATATGATTGGAGTGACTGAATGCCAAGATTGTATCCCATGATTCTTGTAATGCAAATTGCTTATTTAATCTTTCTTTTTTTATGAGCTGCGAGCTATTTATTCTTATAATTATGTTGAATCATATATTAAAATCATTTTATAGTACAAAAGAAGTAATAAGAAGCAATAAAAAAATCGTTTCAAATGAACCCAAAATCTCGGCTTCTGAGGTCGATACAATTACATTAATTTATATATATATTGTAAGCCTCTCATAGTCATAGTTTAATAAAAGCATCAACTTTTGAAACAAGATTCTTATCAAGAAATTGAAGGATGAAATTATCAAATTATCGAGCCTCATTTGGCTCATTTTTGTATTATTCGACATATAAATAATTGAAGAATATATTATATCAACATATATAAATCATCAATTATTATAATAAATTATTTTAGTTTAACTATCATTATTAACCTAAAATTAAATTTAACGCAATTGTTGCTCTGAGATAATGATATCTGTCATCATCCTCCGGTACTCAAATGTTGGCTAATTGGTTGTTGTGCCATTTATAAATTTCTCATTGAAGAATTCAGGCATGTTTGAGAACTCAATTTGCCTTGAAGGTGAAAATTGTTTTGTTATAGTTGCTTATATGACATGTTTATCTATTGAAAAAATTAAGATAAGCAAAATGTTTATTTTTTTTAACAAAACCAAATTTTATTCAATAAAGAAAGAGGGATACAACAACGATCGACCAACAGCCCGAAGTACAAATAGTAAGAACATAAACAACCATACAAAGAAAGAGAAGCAGCAAATAAGGACTCAAGAGTGGAGGTCCCCCACATCAACCTCGTAGCCAAACACGGACCATCCATAGGTGACAGAAGAACAAAAATAGTCCACATTCTACCAAGCAACAAAAAGAGGCACCCAAGTTGCCAACTAGCCCAGCCAGCCAGCGAAGCAGGGGGCCTCCTCATCCTCGTCCAGTCACAATCTAAAACCATCGACGAATTAACAAAAACCAAAGGCCACACCCTATTTCTTCTTGCCTTTGCTTTTAAGCTTCTTTCCACCCACATTAGAAAAGCCATGATCAATAGAGAGTTCATAATTTCCTCCTCAAACGATTCCTCCCCGTCAGAAACAAGAGAGTCCTCCAAAATCAACCAATCAGTTTGAAGCAAAACAGAGTTTTTCCCAATCTTAGCCATATGGACTTTCATTTCAACATCAGACATAACATATACAGGGATTTGAACAAAATTGTCATTGCTATCAACACCAACAATAGGACTTAAATCCGATTAGTCATGGACCTGTAAACTCGATGCCAGATTAATAGAAGAGAGACAACCTCCGGACTCTCGATAACCATCAAAGACAATTCCATACAACCTATCAAATTCTGACTGGGAGAAACAGGTGAACCAGAAAGCCCATCACCCACATCCAAACCGCATGGGGTAGACAAAGAATCCACACAAGATAAAACAATTTTATAATTCAAACCACATTTCAAAACACCAGGCTCACTCGAACATAACCGTGAAACCTGGGCTACAAGAGCCACTCCCTCCAAAACCACAATAGAGTCCTTCTTGATGAAATTATAATGAGAATTAACAGGACTAACCCCTTCACAAACCATAACATTCTCATCACTATTCACTGCATGGTCTTGTTCTAAAGGGACCAGAGCATTCGCGGAATCCCCAACTACAAGGATCAACACAACAAGGGCAGGGGGGGAGGAGGAATTGAAGCAGAATTCTCAAAAACCTTAATAGGAATCCTATTAAAGTTCGACAGAACAGCCACTTGAGGACGACAATTCCCTACCGCATGGCCAATACTTTTGCAAGAAGCACAAAAAGAGGGGAAATCACCCATAACCACTTGTTGGACATAGACAAACTTCTCAGAGCCTAACCACACCTTATCGGGGTATGATTTGGTGATATCCATCTCCACTAAAACATGAGCTAGAGACCGTATGGATCCAATAGATGTAGCATAATCTATTTTCAAAGGTTTGCCAAAGAGAGCGGCCAAAGCATGAAGAATTTGGGGGGAAAAGAGGTGAGGTCGCAGTTGTAGAAACGATATCCAAATAGAGATCACTGGCAACTCCACACCGACATCGACAAGGGGCGACCACTTAGTAACTTTAAATAACAATTAAAAACCAAATACGATATATGAAAGTAGACCCTACTGTAATCAAGGTCATTTGTGTGCTTAATAAAAATGTGCGTTGAATCCAACAGGGTAACCGAAACCTCCCCATTCAGCTTGAGATTGAAAAAACATCTATGGATGGTATCCAGAGAGGGTCATTTAGAAGGAAAAAAATCAACTAACGAGAACTGAAAAAGCTTAGCGAGAGCCTCAATTTCCTGGTCCGAGATGTAGAGGGAAGGCAAGCCATGGAAGGAGGAAGCCCTAAGTTCAGGAAAATCAGTGACAGAAGAGGAGCCCGTAAGAACATCAAAAAAAGAATGAGAAGAAGAACCCCCTAAAAAAATGAGGGTCGCAAAATTTTGTCGCCATCTGGCACATGTCAGAAGAGGAAAGAGAAAAACTAGCAAACCAAAATCAAAACCAGAAAAGAAAGGAGACTTCCCTGAAAAATACAGAGAAGACCGATGCCACCGAGGCGAGTAGCCCAGCAGCGCAGATAGCACCAGAGGAAGCTAGGGCAAAGCCCTAGCAGAGCGTGCAAAACAATAGAGAGTGAGGAACGTCTCTCGAAGAAAATGTACATTTACAGGAAAAGTAGTAAAACTTGGGAGGAGTTTCAAATTTACTGATAAGTTGAAACCTATAACACATCATCTCCTCGAAGAATGCAACGTTCTCCAAACTAGTCTCCATCTTCATGGCATGTTTCTTATTTTTCTTTCTCAATATCAAAGTTTTATTCCGCTAAAACTCTAAAATTTGTGGACTTTTCGCTGGTTATTTTTTTACAACGAGCACCAATTGTATTTGCTTGGCCGGGTCATCGGGTCATGAGCTATAAAATATATATTGAAAATTCACGTGCATAATCAACGTGTCATAATTTCATTGGATTCCATTTACAAAGCTACGCTCGGACTCTGCACGTAATAATTTCTCCAAATAAAGAGAGATGCGTGCAAAATCCAAGCAAGAGGAGGCTAGTTGAGGGGGTTTGTTCTAAGCCTAGAGTGAACTAGGTGCGGTTCCTAGAGAAGCCATAGGAGCGAGCTTCTTCCAGGATTAATGCTAGAGTGAGAAGAAGAATTGGAAGCCCTACTCATGCATGACTTAGGTGGTTCCAAGAAGAAGATATGAAAGGTTCTCCTAGCTGATTGATTATTGCTTATGATGGACGCTTGGTGCAGGGTTTACTTGAGTTAAGGGTTTTCTTCTTTTCTATTTAATCAAGATATAATCATGTGATTTCATTCCTTACATATTTAGATGAAAAAGTTTGCATTACGTTTTTGAATATCAACCTAGATCCAAAGCATGTTAAGAATTTGTAACTTGATGTACATCATAATAAAAGCTTAGCCATTTTTCTCCTTGTGGATGCAGGTATAAACATGACGAGCCACATAAATCCCTTATGTTCTTATTTTCTTGAGGCTGATTTCTGTTTTTTTTTCCATTAATCTTATTTGCAAGAAGGTTTAGATTATTGTTTAGGAATTTTGTGCTGGATGATTTTGGTGAGAAATGACTATTTGCAAGGTTACAACTATATATTTCTTATTAATTAAATGTTTAATCCTATTTATTTTACAAAATTCAATCAACTAATTTTTTGGTTGTTGCAAGAACCTCATAGTCATCTTGAGCATAATTTAGTGAAAAAGAGAGTTCTAATTAATTGGTAATTAATTAGATAACTTATTCTTTATTTATAGAAATCAATATTTTATTAGCTAATTTATCGTGTTCTAATTGTAGGCAAAAGAATTTTGAATCTAAATCTTTCATATAAGTGATTTGTGAGTGCTTATTTGCAACATAGAAATAACATATTCTTTTATATGATTCAAACACTTAGCTCAAAAAGTCTTAGTGATTGTCATTTTGAAAGATTCGATCCGAGGCAGTTGGGTTTACAACAATATTAACAATTATGATTTATAGGAAGATAAAAATTTTATATATTCAGAAAACTAAATGGGTTGGAGAGAAAATTAAAAAGATTGATAGTTTATAATTTAAACTATGTTATTCATATAGAAGTCATGATAGAAATAGTATAATTATAGATAAGAATTTGAAGGATAATATTGTAGAAAATAATATATAATTAGAGATTAAATTATAACTTTAAGGATTATTTTTGTTGTTAAGATTATTAATATTACAAGTATTTATACTCCTCAAATAGGTTTGGATATGCATTAAAAATTTAAAATTTTTAAATGACTTAAAAGAAATAATACAATGAATACCTCTTGAAGAATAAGTTTTTATTAGAGGAGATTTACATGAACATTTTTGTAGAGGTAGGAGATTTTAAAATATTTATGGTTGATAGGAGTTTGGAGAAACCATGAAACTAATGGCGGTGATAGGACCATATTAGATTTTGCTCAAGCCTATAATTTTGTATAATATCTAATTTAAGAAAAGAGATAAGTATCTCATCCCTTGTAATAATGGACATAATAAAATTTAAATTGATTATTTTCTTATTAGAAAATAGATCGTTTAGATAGCAAAGATTGTAAAGTTTTTTTAAGAGAGAGTTTATATACTAAATATCACTTATTAGTTTTAGACTTTAAGATGAATGGGAGAAATATGAAAATAAAGTAAAATATTATCCTAGGATTAGATTGGGGCATTTAAAGAATTCTAACATTTTTTTTAAAGTAAGATTAAAAATCTAAAGATTTTGATTGTGTATGAAGAAGTTAATGCTATGTAGCAAAAAATAACTAGTGATATTAAGAATGTTGAAAAGTATATACTTGGAGTATAAAAAAGAAAAGCTTTTAGTGATAAAAATAGTTAGTGATCAAATCAAAATATTTTAAAAAATATAAAAAATAAAAAGCATTATTATAAAGATTAGTTTAGATGTAAAAACTCAAGAAAA